GACCAGGAAATACTACGACACTGGAGGATAGAAAGTGCAGAGGTAGAAGAACCAAACTTGACGATTATTTTTTTTTTATTATCACACTGGCCGATTCCCACCAAGGCAGGGTGGCCCGAAAAAGAAAAACTTTCACCATCATTCACTCCATCACTGTCTTGCCAGAAGGGTGCTTTACACTACAGTTTTTAAACTGCAACATTAACACATTAACATTCTATTCAAGATTGATGGACTGACCACATCGACTCAAGGTTGAGGGACTGATTACCTCATTCTCCTCCTGTTCTTCAAGATTCTCCTTTGTATGGACTGATGAAGCCACTGTGTGGCGAAACGTTTCCTCAATAAAGATACCCAAGAGTTGCACATGTGTCTAATTTATCAACATGTCGGTTCTCTGAACCATTCATCTACATTAACACCCCTCCTTCAGAGTGCAGGCACTGTACTTCCCATCTCCAGGACTCAAGTCCGGCCTGCCGGTTTCCCTGAACCCCTTCATAAATGTTACTTTGCTCACACTCCAACAGCACGTCAAGTATTAAAAACCATTTGTCTCCATTCACTCCTATCAAACACGCTCATGCATACCTGCTGGAAGTCCAAGCCCCTCGCACACAAAACCTCCTTTACCCCCTCTCTCCAACCTTTCCTAGGCCGACCCCTACCCCGCCTTCCTTCCACTACAGACTGATACACTCTTGAAGTCATTCTGTTTCGCTCCATTCTCTCTACATGTCCGAACCACCTCAACAACCCTTCCTCAGCCCTCTGGACAACAGTTTTGGTAATCCCGCACCTCCTCCTAACTTCCAAACTACGAATTCTCTGCATTATATTCACACCACACATTGCCCTCAGACATGACATCTCCACTGCCTCCAGCCTTCTCCTCGCTGCAACATTCATCACCCATGCTTCACACCCATATAAGAGCGTTGGTAAAACTATACTCTCATACATTCCCCTCTTTGCCTCCAAGGACAAAGTTCTTTGTCTCCACAGACTCCTAAGTGCACCACTCACTCTTTTTCCCTCATCAATTCTATGATTCACCTCATCTTTCATAGACCCATCCGCTGACACGTCCACTCCCAAATATCTGAATACATTCACCTCCTCCATACTCTCTCCCTCCAATCTAATATTCAATCTTTCATCACCTAATCTTTTTGTTATCCTCATAACCTTGCTCTTTCCTGTATTCACCTTTAATTTTCTTCTTTTGCACACCCTACCAAATTCATCCACCAATCTCTGCAACTTCTCTTCAGAATCTCCCAAGAGCACAGTGTCATCAGCAAAGATCAGCTGTGACAACTCCCACTTTGTGTGTGATTCTTTATCTTTTAACTCCACGCCTCTTGTCAAGGCCCTCGCATTTACTTCTCTTACAACCCCATCTATAAATATATTAAACAACCACGGTGACATCACACATCCTTGTCTAAGGCCTACTTTTACTGGGAAATAATTTCCCTCTTTCCTACATACTCTAACTTGAGCCTCACTATCCTCGTAAAAACTTTTCACTGCTTTCAGTAACCTACCTCCTACACCATACACTTGCAACATCTGCCACATTGCCCCCCTATCCACCCTGTCATACGCCTTTTCCAAATCCATAAATGCCACAAAGACCTCTTTAGCCTTATCTAAATACTGTTCACTTATATGTTTCACTGTAAACACCTGGTCCACACACCCCCTACCTTTCCTAAAGCCTCCTTGTTCATCTGCTATCCTATTCTCCGTCTTACTCTTAATTCTTTCAATAATATCTCTACCATACACTTTACCAGGTATACTCAGCAGACTTATCCCCCTATAATTTTTGCACTCTCTTTTATCCCCTTTGCCTTTATACAAAGGAACTATGCATGCTCTCTGCCAATCCCTAGGTACCTTACCCTCTTCCATACAGTTATTAAATAATTGCACCAACCACTCCAAAACTATATCCCCACCTGCTTTTAACATTTCTATCTTTATCCCATCAATCCCGGCTGCCTTACCCCCTTTCATTTTACCTACTGCCTCACGAACTTCCCCCACACTCACAACTGGCTCTTCCTCACTCCTACAAGATGTTATTCCTCCTTGCCCTATACACGAAATCACAGCTTCCCTATCTTCATCAACATTTAACAATTCCTCAAAATATTCCCTCCATCTTCCCAATACCTCTAACTCTCCATTTAATAACTCTCCTCTCCTATTTTTAACTGACAAATCCATTTGTTCTCTCGGCTTTCTTAACTTGTTAATCTCACTTCAAAACTTGACGATATGTAAAGTAAAAGAACACAAGTGCAACTAATGTGACATTTTACTGTGGCAACGACGAAGCTCATGGAGAGCGAAACGTTGCCACAATAAAATGTCACATTAGTTGCATTTGTGTCCTTTTACTTTACATACTGTCGGTAATTCTACCAACATATACACAAACCTGATGACACTAGAGGACAGAAGATCCAGAAATAGAAGAACCAAACCTGACGACACTAGAGGACAGAAAGTCTGGGGGTAGAAGAACCAAACCTGACGACACTAGAAGACAGAAGATCGAGGGATAGAAGAACCAAACCTGACGAATCTGAAAATATCTTTGTAACTTGTCATGAGTTAGTTTAAGTTTAATATGTTTATTATGCACCCCATACCCATCCTGTGGGCGGTAGTCAAAAGATTACAAAGGTAACTTGTCATGACTGTGACTAGATCTACCTGGAGTTCATTACCTTTGTAATTTCGCTATCATATCTTTGGGGTCCAGTCCCTGGACCCATTATGTACCTCTGTAATCTTTTGACTACCACCCACGGGATGGGTATGGGGTGCATACTAAATATATTAAACTAACTAGAGGACAAAACATCCAGGAATAGAAGAGCTAAACCTGACGACACTAGAAGACAGAAGGTCTAGGGATAGAGGAACTAAACCTAATGAGACACTAGAGGACAGGTCAGGGATGACTTAATAACACGTACAAAATACTGAGAGGAATTGACCAGGTGGACAGGAAGTCAGAGGCAAGTCTCGGGTACACAAGGACACAGCTGAGAATTAAAAAGACAAACACACACAAATAAGTTATGTAGGTGTTACGAAGCATTTCTTTAGCTTTAGAGTGGTCAGAAAGTGGAACGACCTAGACAGCGAAGTGGTAGACGCAGGATTCATGCATAGCTGTAAGAATAAGTATGATAGGGCTGTCGCGCCAGCAGAAGAGAGTGAACCCAGCAGTGGCCAGCAGAGAGACAGGGGCCAGGAGCAGAGACTCGGCCCTTGCAACCACAAATAGGTGTGCTGAAAATGATATAAAATATCGACAAGTTGATGAGTAAGACACTTGTGCAGCAGTTGGGTATCATAATAAAGATACACAAATAGGTGAGAATGATAACGCCTTGACCTGAGTCAACAACAACAAGCTTTATAAAAACATATAAGTGATGTATGGCGTCCTGGCCAATTACTGCAAATAAATTTTATTTATTTATTTATTTACTTATTTATTTGAACATGATGCACAGAAGTACAAGGAAATACAGTGGTTAAGTGTAACATGCCAAAGCCCCTTGTATGCAGAGCATTATGGGCAGGCTTAAAATTAACTTAATAAGATTAACTAAGCATTATTATTATTATAATCAAAGGGGAAGCGCTAAACCCGGAGGATTATACAGCGCCTGGGGGGGGGATGTGGAAGGCATTCAGGCTTAATTTGGGGAACTGGAGCACAGATCCAATTCTCTAAATCAAGAGCCCCTCACCAACATCAAGGAACCTTCCTTGAGGGGATTAACTAAGCAATGATATATTCAATGGTAAACATTGTTGTAAACAGTTAACAATTAAGCACAAATGAGAATTTCAAGACAGGTCATATGGTCATTTACTGTGTTTCTGAGCATTCAGTAGAATGGAGTATTCTGTTAGGTAATGTAATTAAAAATAACAAAGTTTGATTGGGTCACAGGTTAAACATTTATGAGATACAACTATTCAGTATTTATTTGGTTGTGGGTGAGTAAGTGGTTTTTAAGAAGAGACTTGAATTTATAAACAGTGTTTCTTTTATATTCACAGGTAATGAATTTCAGATTTTAGGGCCTTTTATGTGCATTGAGTTTTTGCATAGTGTGAGATGGACACGAGGAACATCAAAGAGTGATCTGTGCCTTGTGTTATGGTCATGTGTTCTGTTGAGGTTGGCAAGGAGATGTTTGAGGGGAGGGTTAATATCAGAGTTAAGTGTTCTATGTATGTAGTAGGTGCAGTAATAAGTATGGATGTTTTGTATGGTGAGTAGGTTTAGTTTTGAATATTGGTGGAATGTGCTGCCTGTAGTGGGAATTTGTTATCATTCTGACTGCAGCCTTTTGTTGGGTAATTAGTGGTCTGAGATGGTTTATTGTTGTTGAGCCTTTTGCCCCCTGAAGCTCACTGCAAGTATTGAGAGAGGCCTTCACACTACTAAGGCAAAAGTAGAGGTCGAGTTCCTCCTCAGCCTATTCAGTAAGTAAGTTTATTCAGGTACAGATACATATAAATACAGTTACATAAATTATCATACACAGCAGCATATGTATAGATTACCCACCAGGTTAACCCAAAAAAAAGAAAATGTCAGTCAAAGTTACTTATTTCCATTGGGGTCCTCACAAGGACACCAGTGGAAATGTCACTTTGGCTTTTTTTTTGTTATCCTGGTGGGTAATTTACACTATGTATGGTAATTGTACTTATGTGTACCTGTGCTTAACTAACCTTACTTACTTTACTTACTTAAACAATAACAACAAATAATTACATGGTACAACACAGTTTTTAAAAGTCCATTTTATATATTTAAAAACTTTTTTTTTTCATTTTTATCCTTCAGTAATATCGCCAAAATACAAAACGCGTTATGTAATGATATATGTACTAATTATTCTTGCAGAATTAGGAGGTATTATATTTTTTAAAAGATTACAAAGGTGTGTGTGTGGAGCAGCTGATCACATATCAACATTACCTGTGAGGAGCTGCACCGTGTATGTCCACTCAACACTAATTAGTTCCATTATTACCAGGTATATACCTCCATTACTCACCCGTATCGTCAGAGTAATGACCGACACTTGGGAAAAAGCAAAAATAATTTGTGAATTGTAGCTGAGGTGTGAATGCCATTGTTATATTAAGGCCCGTCTAGGAACCTGGTTTCATAACCTTGAGTTGTAACTCGCTACTTTTATTGTATATGTGCTTCACCTAGGTCATTAAGGCTGCAGTTCACCTGTTTATTAACATCAAAAATACTCATAATACCTAAAATAACGATTAAAATAAACTGTGTACTTAAATGCACAGCTGGGGAGGTTTCATGACTCGAACGGCAATAAACCACTAAACTTGACTTTCCTGGGTTACTCTGGTTTAGTAACTCTCCGGGGATGATAATTCTAATAATCTTGTTGTTATGCCTTGGATTAACACAGTCGTATATTCGCTAAAAAAAGAAAAAGTGGGACAAATCACAAGGTCAAACAAATTTCACCCATCTTATTTGATTAGTATATTGGCTTTGTGAAAGTAATGGAAATTGTATTTTTTTTACCGTGTTAGGTTATCCTAGGTTAAATCATAATAATACTGCTACTATGTCTGTAAACCATTGTGCACCTAATATAGTCAGTAAATCACTTAGAGTTTTTTTTTTTTTTGAGTTATCTTAGGTAATCTACACACATGCTGCTATGTATGATAATTTATGTAACTGTGTTTATGTGTACCTGTACCTGAATAAAATTACTTACTAAAAAAATATACTGTCTGTAAACTCGTATTAGGAGGCCTGGTCACAGACCGGGCCGCGGGGGCGTTGACCCCCGGAACTCTCTCCAGGTAAACTCCAGGTATTCATTATCATTTTAGTATTAGCTATGAAATGTCAAAATCTCCTTGACTTAAGTCGTCATATTGCTCAAGGAAGGTTCCTTGATGCTGGTGAAGGGCTCTTGATCTAGGGAATTGGATCTGTGCTCCAGTTCCCTGAATTAAGCCTGAATATTTTCTGTTCCCCCCCACAGGCGCTGTATAAACCCTACGAGTTTAGTGTTCCTCATGATAATAATAATTAAGTCATAAAATGTTATCTCTTTTACATACAGAAGAAAATTATTTTGGTTAGATTATTAGTCTAGATGGTTAGTAACTCAGATGACCCAAGAAAGCCAGTCAGTTTGGCTTATTTCCATTGTGATCTCTTCTTCATTTTTTACAGGATGTGAATTACAACAGTTGTTTAACACCCAGGTACCTATTTACTGCTAGGTGAACTAGAGCAACAGGTGTAAAAAAGCATGCCTAAGGTTTCCACTCTTTGTTGGTTTGAACTTGGGTCCTTCAGTTGTGAGCTAGACACACTGTCACTTGAGCTATGAGCCTCATATGCAATATTGCAATTTTTAAATTCTGAAAAGAATTTACTTATGCTGTATATATATAATACTGTAAAATGTCTACGCTGAATAAAAACCAACTAACCTTACCAACTAAAGATTAACTGCAACTGTAGCTAACTACAACTAAGTGAGCTTTGTACTGTTGTTTGACAACAACCATCCTGGGAGGCTCAGTACTATCATCCTCTCATAAGAGCATGAAACAGAAGACTTTTAGATCCTTTGCACTCTAGGGGATCTTGATCTAAGGAATTGGACCTGTTTTCCCTTCCCTTGGAGCTAACCCACTTGCCACTCTTTCCACAGGTGCTGAATGACCCTTAGGGGTTTAGTGCTTCTCCATAACAATAATGCTCTGGCTGAATTGCTGGTCTTGTCTTTTTCTGTTGTCTCTATGACCCATTCAGGATTAGAACATGTTTTTGAATATGTTTATAATAATAATTCTTCCTCTTGAACGTGTAAGATGACAAGTAAATGTTGCAAATTTGTATCTACATACAGTATTTACTTATCTTTTGCTTTCCTGTGTACAGCGGAACCTCGGTTTTCATGATTAATTCGTTCCAGAAAGTCTGACGAAAACCGAATTGTACGAAAACTGAAGCAATATTTCCCATGAGAAATAATGTAAATCCAGTTAATTCATTCCAGACACCCAAAAATATTAACAAAAAATGCATTTTATAGAGAATAACTATTGTTTTCCATACAGAAAACAATGAGAAACGAATATAAATGACTAATGAAATGGATAAATGAATATTTAACAACACTTTTCCCTTTATTGAAGACTCTTGTTGGCATATGGAAGATGGCAAGGAGGGGAGAGGGAGGAGAGGCTATTGTTTGGAAGGGGAATCCCCTTCCATAAGGGCTTCAGGTATCAAGGCTCTATCTGGGGTTACTTCCCTTCTTTGTCTTTTACTGGCACTAGGGCCAGCTTGAGAGTCACTGTACCCCTGTCACACAAAAAATCTGTCCAGAGAGGTCTGTTTTTGGTGTCTCTAAGATTTGCTTAAAATGGGACAAGGCATTGTCACTGAACATGTTGGAGATGGCTTGCAACAGCTTTGTTAGGGTGATATTTCTCCACTTTGCAGACATGTTCTTAACCCTTTGAGGGTCGGTCATGTACACGTACGTCTTAACAGCCAGGATCAGTCACGTACTTATACGTGTAAATTCTAGTGCCTTCAGATATGGTGGAAGAAAGCTGGTAAGCCTAAATATGAAGAAATGAGTCTGCAGGGTCAGTGTGCACAGTATAAAAAAAAAATCCTGAAGCACGCAGTGCATAATGAGAAGAAAAACTCCGACCATGTTTTTGACTTTGCAGTGTATTTTTGTATGGTATTTGTTTGTATTCTCGTTTTCTTGGTCTCATAGGCTGGAGGATATTTCATAGAAATAGAGATGATTTTGATTGGTTTCACGATGAAAAGTACCTTGAAATTGAGTTCAAAGTAGCAGAAATGTTCAATATTTGCCGATGTTCAAGAGTAAATAAATCATGCCACGTGTCCAATGCACATCAACTGGTGAGTCTAATATTCTTTCACAAGTGTGCTGATATTATTTATATCGTTTTTACAACAATGCAGTAGTCTGCATAACAGTAAATCTTCTATTTTTTTGTGAGAATAAAAATTCAAAATGGAAAGTAAGAGTAATATAAGAGGGGCCTGGAGATGTGACTAATGAACAGAGAAAATATTATTTTAGTGCCAGGAATGTCTGTCTTGTTTATTCTGGACCCTGGTTTCGAAATTGGCATCTTTTGAAATTCGTGTGAAATTGGCCAAATTGCCAAATACTGACCACTTTATTGGGTAGTTGAAATTGGTAAAATGGGCAGTTTCATGTACTCAGTCGATAGAACAAATGGAGTTCTAGCGAAATAGCTATGATTTTAGTCCACTAGAACATTGGAATTGGCCAAAAATAGGGCTCAAAGTGGGTGAAATTGCCGATGCGTAAATATCGTCAAGACCGCTAACTTTGCAAAAGCGTAATTCTGTAAGTTTTCCATCAAATTTCATGCTTTTGGTGTTATTACAATCGGGAAAAGATTCTCTATCATTTCACAAGATTTTTTTTTTTCTAATATTTTTTGACCCCGAGTGGGAGTTCAGGAAGGCACATTCTCCCCCCCTCTCTTCCTCCTCCTTTTCCTCCTTCTCTGAAGCAATTTACTCGGCTGCAATATGCTGCTGTTCGAGTTGAAGGTGTTGCAGCTCTTCAGTGGTTAGCTCTTCCCTGTGGTCATCCACCAACTCTTCCACATCCTGGCCACTCACATCCAACCCCATGGACTTCCCCAAAGACACAATAGATTCTACAACAGGCGTAGGGTCGTCAGGGTCAGCCTCAAACCCTTCAAAATCCTTCTCTTGGACACATTACGAAATGTTTTGGCTGAATGCGCGGGGTGATGCTCACTCAACGATAAACAAAGGCAGACTGAGTCACTCGGCTCTTGAGTGGCCAAGTGATGCAGGTGGGCAGGCGGACACGTTTGGTACGGACCATTGCCAACTCTACGAAAACCGAGGTGATGTACAAAAACTGGGACAAAATTTCGACGGAAAAAGTCGTCGAAAACCGAATCCTACGAAAACTGGGGCGTATGAAAACCGAGGCTCTACTGTATTTTTTAATACATTAGTAATATTTTTAATATTTTTAATATTTCCTTTTTAATGTAGGAGGCCAGGTCTTGGAGTAGTCTGTAGAGACAGTGATCCTTGAAACCATTAACAAATAAAATAGGTCCTAGGTTAAGACTGGGCAGTGGGAACGATGACTTCACAGAACCATTAACAGATATAACAGGGGAGCTGACCTGAGACTGGGCAGTGGGAATGGTAATTCCACAGAATCATTAACAGATATACTTAACAGAATGGCTGATCTGAGACTGGGCGGTGGGAACACTGATTCTACAGAACCATTTACAGATATAACTGGGGAGGCTGGTCTGAGACTGGGCAGTGCAAACCACAGAACCATTAACAGATATAACAGGAGGGCTGGTCTGAGACTGGGAAGTGGGGATGATGATGATTCCCAGACCCTTATTAAATACAATGGGCATGATGAAGCATCAAAGTGTAGTGGACACCTGTCGATGAATTAAAGAAACCCCTATTCAAACGTGATTATGTCTCATTTTCCCAGGCAGTGTATAACCCCTCCAGGTTTTAGTGCCCCCTCAATGAATGTAATAATAATATAATGAGAAAACTCACATGTAGAAAGAGAAACCGTTTACAGTGTGTGTGTGTTTTGACTTCTGAGATCTTCCGTCTGAAGATCTCAAAGACTGAGATATTCATTCTCTTATTACATTGTTCTTGTTTTTATGTGGCTTTCTTCAGTTTATAACAGGTATGTTTCTAGGTGCTGTACTACAAAAGGTATTTAGTCTTTTGTCCTTCAATCAACTTAGGTTTAAAGCTGTCCCTTTATTACTAAGAGATTTTTAACTCAAATTTCATATATTTAGGTCCCTTCAAGGAATCTTGATGCTGGCAAAGGGCTCCTGATATGAAAAATTGGAGCTACCCTCCCTTTCCTCAGATCAAACTTGATTATCTCCTATTCCCCAGGTGCTGCATGACATGGTTGAACACTTTCCTATAAATAATAATATGTATGATATAATCCACAGCTGTAATAGGACATAATTAGCTGCATTCTACAAGTTCTCATTTTTGCGCATTATGGGTTCACATCCACAATATATTATATGTACAGTACATATTGTTTTATTGTGTAGATATGGTGTTTGAATTTTCTTTCTTTATATAGGCATGGCATTGAGAAACCTGGGAACGGCCTTATCAAGGCTGTCTCTAACTACCATCGCTAGAGGTGAGTACTGTATTACATATCACATAGTGCATATATTTACTTATTTGTATTTAAAAGAGCAATGCTATGGTCATGGCATCTTGTCTTCGGTATTCATTATAGTAAATTATACTAATAATTTTTATTTTGGGAAGTACATGTAATGTATAAAGGCCTAGCTGACATCAGTGACATGCTACTGTACAGAAAGCCCCTTGTTATGCAGAGCATTTCAGGCAATTTAGGTCAGTTTTATCCCCAGGGTGTGACTCACACCAATCCACTAACACATAAGTACATATTTTACTGATAGGTGAACAGGGACAGCAGGTAGTGTTTAGCACATACAACACAACCTCTTGGATTCTGTACTAGCTGTCTATCAGTGTTTGCGAAGAAATGTTTTCTAGGTGTCCTCTTTGCACCACCTTTTGTAGTTTGCAATTGTGGTCTCTCGTTTTGCGTTGCCATTTGAAAGACATCTACTCGATCTGTTATCCTGTACAGTACCTCTACAGTGTTACCCTGAGTTTCGAACTTAATCCGTTCCAGGAGCTAGTTTTAAAGTCGAAATGTTCGAAGCTCGAAGCAATATTTCCCATAAGAAACAATGTAAATACAATTAATCCATTCCAGAAACCCAAAAATATTCACAACAAAATACATTTTATAGAGATTAATTATAGTTTTACATACACACAACAAACATACATAATACAATTAGTAATAGATATATAAACATTTAAATAAACATATAAAATAACATTTTTACTTACCTTTATTGAAGATTGTTGATGGCATCTGGAAGATAGGGAGGAGGAGTGAAGGAGCACTTATTGTTTGGAAGGGAAATCCCCTTCCATAAAGACTTTAGATAACAAGTCATTATCTGGGGTTACTTCCCTTCTTTAAGATTTCCCTAAAATGGGACATTGTTCTGAGATGGCTTGTTTCAGTTTGCTGATGGTGATATTTTTCAGCAAATGCCTGCACCCTGTTCCACACTGCACAAATCTCCTTAATATCTGAAGAAGGCATCATCCACCACCACCACCAATACCACCACCACCAATACCACCACCAATACCACCACCACCAATACCACCACCACCAATACCACCACCACCATCCACCACCAATACCACCACCACCATCCACCACCAATACCACCACCACCACCATCCAACCACCACCACCACCATCCAACCACCAATACCACCACCATCCACCACCACCATCCACCACCATCCACCACCACCATCCACCACCACCACCATCCACCACCACCACCATCCACCACCATCCACCACCACCACCATCCACCACCACCCACCATCCACCACCATCCACCACCACCCACCACCACCCACCACCCCACCCACCACCACCACCACCATCCACCACCACCACCACCATCCACCACCACCATCATCCACCACCACCATCATCCACCACCACCATCATCCACCACCACCATCATCCACCACCACCATCATCCACCACCACCATCATCCACCACCACCATCATCCACCACCACCATCATCCACCACCACCACCACCATCCATCATCACAGTGAATTAATTGTGAAATGTTTAAACGAGTGCACAGGTTAGTGTTCACTCAAGCATAAACAAAGCCAGACTGGCTCATGACGCCTGCGCGGAGGACAGGGCAGGCACGGGCAGGCGGACAGGTCTGGTACGTGGTTCAAAACATAGGCACATTCTATACTCGGGACAAAATTGGTGCGAAAAAGCGGTTGAAACTCAAAGCGTTCGATAGCTGATGCGTTCAAAATTCGGGGTTCCACTGTATATGATTATTTGTATCTCATCTCCACCTATGATCCTGTTTACCAGTCACATATTTCCATTACCTTCAGTCTTTTTTCATAATTGATATTTTTAATTCTTAATAGACTTAGTAGAATAGGAGTATTATTTTCGTTTATGGACAGTAAGTCATGAAGGATCTCTCACTGTTCATTAAAGCAGCTTGTTTAGAATCAGTTAAGTGATAATAGATATGAAGGCTTTCACAATGTCCATTAAACCAGGCAATTTAATTAAATCATTGGTGGTTTTATTTCTCCCAGTGTAATTAGGATATGTTTTAAGTAAGGCTCACTTTGAATACCTTACATAAAGGAGCAACATACCAGAAGTACAGTAGTTACTTGTGGTCATTGGCTTGCAAATAACAATTTTAAAACTATGAAGTACTGTAAGTCTTGTGCCACAAAATTTTCCATCCTAAATATTTCAGAACTCAGTCACTACTTGGATGTACATATTGGGCTTTATTCTTGTTAAAGGACTTAACAGTATTGCATAGGTGAAAATTACAGGGAAGTAGTTTTCTGGTATTAGTTCAGTCTACAGTATAACAATAACAAGTGTTTCACAACAGTTTGTGCTTTATAGTGAAATAAAGACTTGGTGAATAATAAGATGTGAAATGTCTGATAACCAATCAGATGGTATAAAATATTTTATATCTTATTATACATCAATAAGCTTATCAGATATCTTAATTAACCTAGGATTGTGCATGGAGATCTTTGGTAAGGAAGGAAAGGGAGTGTGTGTGTTTTAGGAGAATTTTAAGAAAGGATGGCCCTTCAGGGAATTGGAACTCCTTTCCCTCAATCAAATCTGACTGCCTCCAGTTCCTCTTCCCATGACCCCCTATGAATTAAGCACTCCCATCATGAATACAGTAACAGTGGGTAAGGATGGAAAAAAATTTAAAGGAGGAAGCATTTAGAATTAGGAAAAGATGAATTATTTGTTTGAAAAGGAAAAGTGTGAAAATTTGGCAGTTGAGAAGTGGAGAAATTTTGGGGGCAGGCTTTTTAAAACAAAAATTGAATGCATCGGCTGTGTGCTGTTATCCTATTCTGTCATAGTTATGTAGTACGATCAGCAGTGAGTTAATGTTATGTTTCATACTGCATCACACAGGATGGTCTTCTTGTATCAGGTGATGAACTCGACCAGCCTGAGTTGTGACTTCAAGTAAGGCACTATCACTCCACTCTGCTCTCCACCATCACTCCACTCTGCTCTCCACCATCACCCCACTCTGCTCTCCACCATCACCCCACTCTGCTCGCAACCATCACCCCACTCTGCTCGCAACCATCACCCTACTCTGCTCGCAACCATCACCCCACTCTGCTCTCCACCATCACCCCACTGCTCTCCACCATCACTCCACTCTGCTCTCCACCATCACTCCACTCTGCTCTCCACCATCACCCCACTCTGCTCTCCACCATCACCCCACTCTGCTCGCAACCATCACCCCACTCTGCTCGCAACCATCACCCTACTCTGCTCGCAACCATCACCCCACTCTGCTCTCCCACCATCACACCCCACTGCTCTCCACCATCACCCCACTCTGCTCTCCACCATCACCCCACTCTGCTCTCCACCATCACCCCACTTTGCTCTCCACCATCACCCCACTCTGCTCTCCACCATCACCCCACTGCTCTCCACCATCACCCCACTGCTCTCCACCATCACCCCACTCTGCTCTCCACCATCACCCCACTCTGCTCTCCACCATCACCCCACTCTGCTCTCCACCATCACCCCACTGCTCTCCACCATCACCCCACTCTGCTCTCCACCATCACCCCACTCTGCTCTCCACCATCACCCCACTCTGCTCTCCACCATCACCCCACTGCTCTCAACCATCACCCCACTCTGCTCTCCACCATCACCCCACTGCTCTCCACCATCACCCTCGCTCTGCCTCCACCATCACCCCACTCTGCTCTCCACCATCACCCCACTCTGCTCTCCTCCATCACCCCACTCTGCTCTACACCATCACCCCACTCTGCTCTCCTCCATCAACCCACTCTGCTCTACACCATCACTCCACTCTGCTCTCCACCATCACCCCACTCTGCTCTCCACCATCACCCCACTCTGCTCTCCACTATCACCCCACTCTGCTCGCCACCATCACTCCACTGCTCTACACCATCACCCCACTCTGCTCTTCACCATCACTCTGCTCTCCTCCATCACCCCACTCTGCTCTCCACCATCACTCCACTGCTCTACACCATCACCCCACTCTGCTCTTCACCATCACACTGCTCTCCACCATCACTCCACTATGCTCTCCACCATCACTCCACTATGCTCTCCACCATCACTCCACTCTGCTCTCCACCATCACTCCACTATGCTCTCCACCATCACTGCACTCTGCTCTCCCACCGTCACCGCACTCTGCTCTCCACCATCACCTCCCTCTGCTCTCCACCACCTTACTCTGCTCTCCACCATCACTCCAGTCTGCTCTCCACCATCACTCCACTGCTCTCCACCATCACCTCCCTCTGCTCTCCACCACCTTACTCTGCTCTCCACCATCACTCCAGTCTGCTCTCCACCACACTCCTCCACTGCTCTCCACCATCACTCCACCTATGATCTCTAAAATCACCCCACTCTGCTCTCCACCATCACTCCACTCCTGCCTCCCACCCACACTCCCCTCCCCTCCAACACCCTCTCCCCTCTCCACCAATATTCCCCTTCCCTCTCCACCAATATTCCCCTCCCCACTACCAGCACTCCCTCCCCCCCCACCAACAGTCCCCTCCCCACCAACAACAATCCACTCCCAGCACCGACACTCCACTCCCCACCACCAACACTTCCCCTCCCTCTGCCACCAGCGCTTCACTCCCCCACCACCAACACTCCACTCCCCCACATCCAACCACTCCACTCCCCCCACCACCAACACTCCACTCCCCCACCACCAACACTCCACTCCCCCACCACCAACACACTCCGCTCCCCCACCACCAACATTCCCCTCCACCACCACCAACATTCCCCTCCCCCACCACCAGCACTTCACTCCCCCACCACCAACACCACTTCCCCACCACCAACACTCCACTCCCCCCACCGCCAACACTCCACTCCCCCACCGCCAACACTCCCACTCCCCCACCGCCAACACTCCACTCCCCCACCACCA